CATGCGTTTCCATATTTTCGCTATGTATACGTTTTCGCAAAACGTTTTCGGTGAAGCGTACATTACTACCTGGTCCGGCTAGCTTTAAAACATGTATAAAATGAACAAATTTTTCCTGAAATTTTGCCAATTTTATACATATACTTTTTTTTTTTTTTTTTTTTTTTTTTTAATAAAAAGATTGATATTTTCCTGTTACTATTTAGAAAAAGTTAATATTTTCTATCAACCGTTTGTAAAAAATTTTATTATCGTTAAATGTTAAAAATCATTTTACTGTTATTGATTTTTAAAAAATTTCGAGTTTTTGAAGCGCACGCCTCAAGTAAGTACGTATAAAACTGCACTGCTGCATTTCGTATCTATATGATGACGCATCGCTCTGTTGAACAGACAACCTCTTCACATGAAAAGATACACGCTTTCTTGGCAAAAGATGTATTCATTAAAACAAACGTTATTCCATCTTCCTTTGATGTAAACGTCCGTGTCTATGCGGTGTCCATTACGCAAAGTTACGCAGCTCACGAAGAAAATGATGATATGGATAATGTTGCTTTCGACATGCGAAACTGAAAGAGGATATCCGACAGCAGCCGACATGCTTTATCGAAATTGCGCCATTTCTTTGCTATATTTTTCACGAATAACTTGTACATATATAAAAGATCTCAGACGGTCCGGATATAAATTTTACTCCTTTGAGAAGAGCTTGTCTTTGTTAAAGATTTTCTATTGCATTTTTATTTTCAATATTAATATCTCAATTGCAATCTAAATTAAATTGCAGTTGAATAAAGGTCGATTTTATGACATTAGAGCCGAAATTTATATTTTTAGAGTCTCGATCTCTTAAAGATTTTAAATTTTTGATTACGTTATCTTAAGTACGCGATTTTATGAATTATAAAGGACATCATTATTAGAAGAGGATAAAATGAGTAAGAATGTTAGAGTCTTACAACTTTACTCCTCATTATTGATTGAAAGCATCAAGTTGAGAGATTGCCTCATGAAAGTCACTAACTTAATAAAGTAACCAGAGTGAAGCGATATGTGGCAAAGGGTGGAAAGTATAATTATTTGTTATCTCCACATTTTAGCGTATGCAATTTAACTTTTCACTATTAATCGCTAATCTCCATTTAAATTCAAGTAAAATATATGTTATCAAAATATATGTCAGATTTAATAAAAAGATATCCATATGTATAAGTTTCTTCTTTCACAATTCTCGTTTTTTTTCAATGTTAATTTTCAGATGATATCAATTAGATCTTTTCATTCTCTACAGAAATTTTATTTCTTCTGCTCCGCTACCAAGATAACTTCTCATAGAATGTGGATTTATATCGCTTATTCCAATCAATGAACACCTTGATTGGGAAGATAAGGCAGATTAAGCTTGGAATATAAAATAAGGGTAAGATTAAAAGCTATGAAACGTTCAGAAATTGCTCACAGGAAGGAAGGAATTATAGACAGGTTTAAATATTTATCAGGTCGTAGACACAGCCGCAGTCAGCGAGCTCTCCCACGACAAAGAACAGCCAAATGGTAATGAATCTATACGTTTGAATATTACCTTTGGTTCGTCTTTTTGTAAATTTTAATATAATTTTAATTTTTTATAGATTTTAATTAATTATAAAGCTATTATTGAAACATTGTGTTACAAATGATAATTTTTGAATTACTTTACATTTTAAGCGTAAGACTTCTCATCGTTACAGTATTATATTTTGTTCAGCCTTATCCATTTCGCTATCATTATAGATATTAAATTAATTGTTATTAAATATTAGAACAAAATTCTTACACCATTCTTACACCTGTAAGAAACAAATAGAAAGCTTAATAATAATTAAAAATTACTTTTTTCTTACAGTTATTATTTTTTTCTTACAGTATTTATCTCAATATTTTATTTGTTAATACATACAAATTATCACAAGTTTGTTGATTTTAATTAATGTCAAGTGTAAAGAGGAGAAATGTTATTTATATTTGCATAATAAAACATCATATTCGCGCAAATATTATTCATGATTTTTCATATACTCATAGTCTATTTTTTCTATAATATATGTAATCATAAATACGAAAAGTATATGACATATATTGTATTTCAATTTGATAATAAAATTGTTAATCATTACTTGCAATCGTTAATCAATAACTGTATAACTTCCTTATTTTGAGTGGGTCATCGCAACGCAATCACGATAGGTATATCTATATCTCGTCGTGCCATCGTTCCCGTTGTCTTATCTCCTTCTCTCGCACAAGTGCCGGCCAATAGAGCAGATTAGATGGAACAACGTGCTGCTCCGATATCACGTGCCGCGTAACAGCTTCCTCGACGTTGCTCGCGTACGGCACGACGAGCGCTACAACCTGAATCTCCCTTTAATGCCGGCACGAAATTTACAATGCCGCAATAGGCGCGGTTGCAACGTGTAGTGGTGCATCGAGACGGGAATAATATCGAGCGCGTACACCTGTCTATCGGAGCCGAATGAAAGCGCGCCGGCGAGAATTGCCGGGATGAAAGGGACCGGCGTCGGTGTGGGGCTGCCCATTGTCCCGATTTCTGCCGGCGTCTGTGTGGTAGACTTGTCGCGCCCGTTGCGGTACGTAATAATGTGATTATGGGATGTACCACCTTACCTCCCACCCGATTCTCGAGCCCGAGATCCCTGAGATTTAGAGGAGGTGGGACGCCAAGGCTGAGACGACAAGGTTGACGGAAATCGCATGAATGCAGAACTTCGGAACCTCCCTTCTCCTCCACGTCTTCCTCAATCCCTCGAGCTAAGGACTACGTTATTATACCGCGAGCGGTGACATGCGTTTGACTCACCTAAGCATATCGTTGGTAATGGTTTAATTATGCGAGAATTACGACTGTTCTCCGCGATATTATTACGTTATAGCGGATTTTGTATGAAAATAGCAGGAAGTGCTATTTTCTCTCTCGCTTGCTAGAGGGATGCATTTTGCAAAATATATTAAGAATGTCGCTTACAATACTATTACTTTATGCGCTATGCAATAATTATATTAATAATAATATCTACATAACTAATGATTCTCATATATAATTGTTAGGTTTTCTATTATCTACACAATTAATCTTTCAATTTCAATATCGCAATTACAATGTTAACTCATTCATTTTATATGGAGGAGAAACTAAATTCTCTTCCCATAATGATGTAATAATTGATGATGTAATCAAGTCATTTTTATTAGCTTATTATTTTTTTTCAATGACACGCGCATCATAAGCTGCATTTTTCACGTATCAACAAGAACATTCCGTTTGAAAAAAGCCAACACGAGAGGATAACTCGGTAATTCTATTACAGCCGTGTTACGCTTATCAATGCATTGACGCACGCATTTACAGATAAGTTTACATCTCTCCTTTAGAGTTACTACGAAGCCGATATTATGCCGAGGGTCATGTGCATCAGATTTCACCCCATCCAAGTGCCTGTTTACAGTGATTAAATTATGCTCACGTTGCCGTTACACGTGCCCGTACTAACGTGTCTACCTACAACGTGACGCGTTTCCTAGCTGCAGTAGGGAATGGGGAGTTGCACGAAATAATGCACGTGCGCTTCGCAATTCGCCGTCTGCCACACACTACCTGCAAATTTGTGTGTGTGTGTGTGTGTGTGTGTTTTATGTGTGTACAAGATACACTAAATGCATCCTTTTTAAGTTGTAAATATTCGATGTAATGTTAGAAAGAATGATTAAAAAGATTGAATTTCTTTCTAAGTTTCTGCTGCTTCTATCTTCAATTAAAATAAAGTTATAAAAAAATATATATATGTATATGTAATACGTATATGTAATATGTAACTTTGGTGATGAATGTAATTATATAATCAATACTCAGATTTTAATTTTATTAAAATAAAGTTTGCTCGGAATTAAAAAAAAATTTATATATTATAATTTATGTAACATGATTATCGGATTTTTGAGAATTCATGAAAGCCCTGGTGATTTATCTTTGTATTTTATCAAGATAAAATCTATTTGAAATTAATCAATAATTTGCGCTTAACTAAAATGTGTTTGTTTTAGTTAAACGAACAATATAAATTACTAGGTTGAAATTCGCTTTGAATAAAGGGCTGTTTGTTGTAGCGGTAACTAGTTAAAAATCTCATTACCGAACATATTTAAATCGCCAAAAATTACCGACTGTTAGAAAATACGAATAACATTACTGCAGGGAAGAGTTAATTATCTCATTCAAATAGAAGACATTAATTAAAAAATGAAACGTGATACTTATAAGTAATATATTTACAATTATCTATTTTAAACCAACAAAGAATTCATGCGAGGAAATGAGTAGCGTTAATGATAAAAATTAAAATATAATGAGACGATCAGTTTACTTTATTAGCTATTTAATTTATTAACTGAATTATTTTTACTAGTATATTATATAATATATATATATAATAATTATTCTTCTTAAAATTTTTCTTTTCTAAAAATTGACAAGTAAATTATAAATACTTTTATATTTATTGTAATCAGAGTATATGCCTCGAAATGATTAAATGTATCTACAATATCCAATATTTCTACGAATAATACAGTACAACTAATAAATTTTATTGCACTTTTATCTAAACACGATTTTTCGCATTTATAATATAATAAAACTAATCAAAAATTAAAAATAGTAAAGAAGTTTGATATAAAACATACTAAACGATATATATTTCTGCAAGGGAAAAACAAATCAAATAGAAATAATCAATAAGAAGGAATACATTTCTTTCTACATAACACACTATTTAACAAAAGTAAAAAACGTTATTTTAATTTCTAAACAAAACTATTTTACGCAAGATGTAGTTAGAATTGATTAAATTAATAAGTTAGACATCCTTTCGAGTCTGATCGAGAAATCAGACGAAATACCACGCGCGAATTCCATTCCTTTTTTTTCGCTCGCCACTTACCGCGCTGCCAAATTGGAGTACTGGCTGGATTGCTGTCTACCTCGCATTTCAGGCTGACAGACATCCCCTCGACGATCGGAATTCCAAAACCAGGTAAACGCGTTATCGCGAACGATGGAGTATCTGAAACAGGTATTAAGCAATTAGTGTCAATGCCACGACGTCGATATACTACGTGATATCGCAGAGAAACATAAAAAAAAAGAAAGAAAAATAAACGATGTTATTATATGTTACCAGAGTATTATTATACTGCCAAAATCAATTTAAAATGATGTAGAATTTCATTCCGCTTTCAGTATTCTGTTTTTAAATGTAATTTCAAAATATCTCAAAAAGAAATATTACAAATCGCAAATTGCAAATACAAGATTTATTCTATTCTCAACTTGCTCTATTTCTGCATAATATTTGTTTAAATGAATTTTATAATGAAATTCAAAAACAGTCGTTTAATAAGTAATTCAGAAAGTCATAGCAATTGCAAATTGCAATTTTCTTTCGCAGACGATAGCAAGTCTGTGAACTCGCTACTTCGCAATTTTCAAATAAGATTTCCGGTAATTTTAAAATATATTGGCCAACGTAATCTGATTTCTACACATTCGAAAGTCATTCTTTGTACGACGAAGATTCTATGTACGAAGATATTGGTCACTGCGAATTGAATCCAATGTGCACGAAAATAACCAATTTTTCGAATAAAAAGTAGACTTTAAGAAGATAGATTACTGAGGATACAATTCACAATAGCAAATAGAAAAGTCTTTCAGTTGAATCCATCTTTATCACTTTTGATCATTGCTTTTCAAAGTCAAAAGAAAAGAATGGAATAAAAAATAAAAGAGTATTATATGTTACATAAATATTTATAAAATAAACTATATATGAAAAAAAAGATGTTAACATCATAATAAATTCAATCAAGAAGTGAACATTCTTCTATTGCAGTACAATCTTTGCATACATCATATTAAATATGTTATTTGCTCTAAATATAGAAACAATAATGAAACACTCTTCAGTAATACTGTTATATTTAACTTTATTTCTAATCCGAATACTGATGTTGTTCTTTCTTTGGTTGAATTAAATAATATTTCCACATATCGGCACTGTTCCCAAATGTATGCAGCGTTTCAGTAATGTGAAAATACTTTTCACATAATAAATATCTGCTTAAATGGTTTGTTTGGAGGTAATCCGTGGAATGCTTATTTCCACTGTGGGAGTTTATTGTGACCTGCTTTTGCGCGAAGTTCACTTCCCGAATACAAACCAGCTTTCCGCCCTGAAGCGACATTATGCGCAACGACAAAACTTCACATCATCATCAAATAGATATACCGCAAAGGAGGCAAGAGCAGAAGAGAGAGAAGGGAGAACGAGAGCAACGAGAAGCGTTAGTTATCGGAATGCTCGTTATAATGAAGATGTAAATCCCGAGAGTTAGTAATTGAATGCATCAAGTGCCTCTAGAAATCAAACGTAATCGTTGGAGATGACGCGTTATTCCCGTTACCTCCGATAATCACCCCTCTTTCTCTTCTGCGTTCAATACGAGTTTCCCTTCCATGTCATTAACGTCCGTGGAATCGAATGATAGGATTCCGGCATATTCCGCTAGTATATATATATATAGGGTGACAGACGAACGACCAATGAGGTTGGCAGAGAAGATCAAGAGAAGTAGCGGAAAGGGAAGGTTTTCAAAATTGTCGTTGAACAAACGAGGTATAGATACGAGGTCGTGGCAAGTAATTAATGAACGGGACAGTCAAGATTTTACAGGCGTCGAGATCGTATTCGTTAAAAGGTCCTACTATTATCGTCGATACCAACGACAAATGATGGAAATATCCACACGCTCTTTTGGCGCCCCAGCGAGTGGGACGTCGTTCGATGCCACCCCGGCGCCGCTCGAGCGATTTGCCGTTACCGTTATATCGCCGTTCAGCTCGTTAATATCACACCGCGACTATAACGGGACAGCCATCGAGGCTGTCGGGGGATCGAGGTCGCAGAATAAATTGGAGATGCGTCAAATTGTGCGAGAGAAGGAAGAGACGAGCCCCTGGAAAACGCCGGAGAGGCGTGCAGAATATCGGAAGTGTGACGCGGAGGAAGGGAGTAACGCGCGGATGGCGTATGAGATAGAAAAAAGAAAAAATTGAAGAAAGATAAAACGGAAGATGAAGCGATGCAGGAAGAAGAGAGAGAAACAAGGGCGGCATGACTACCAGGATGGCTCGAAGTTATTCACTTGGCTATAATAGTGCGGTGCTGGGACAATGCAAGCTTAATGAAAGCTTTTCTCCCCGGCGTACCGACGACCTCACCTCCTCGTTCTCCCTTGCTGTTCTCAGTCCGTCGTAGTCGCCGACGTAACCGACGCCGCCGGGCACGCCGCACTGTAGTCCCGGTGCAACAGCGTAAACACCAAACAAAGGGAACAATGAAACACAGAAGTGTCCTACAGACCTCGATCACTTGATGAGAACTTTAAAGCGCGCCCGCAAACTACTAGTTCATCTTTTATTCCAGAATGGATACCGTAGGATACCGCTATAAAATCCTTTTATCACAATCCCGCGTATACTCTTTTTTTTTTTCAAGTAATGATTACATTTACACGGACACCTTTAACCAAGTTTAATAACATCCGTTATTATAAAACTGGCCAATCATAGCTATTCCTCTAAAAATAAAAAATGGTATGACTGTGTGATTGCTGACCAGTTTCTAACTATGAATGTACTAAACTCGATTAAAGCTCAGTTTCACAACTCACAATTAACTCTTAACCGAGGTTCAACTTATTTCTCATCTCTTTCCAATTTTAGTATTAAAAAAAGATAAGGAATAAATTAAATCGGTTGTGAAACTGGATCTAAGAAATGTCCGTGTAATCTCCTTTCCGAGGAGATATTGATCACAAGTGTCTCCCGTTCTTCATGCTGCTTGAGATTTTTGAGCATTTTCTTTCGAATTTTTGTAACCTTTTGTATTTTTTATTTCTTTACTTATATTCTTTCTCACTATCGATATCGGCTGATTAAATTTGATAGTAATAGTAAGTAATTGACTGCTCAATGGCGCAAATCGCGCGAACCGGACTGTGCGAACCTTTAAGGTGACCTCGCTTTACAGTAGAATGAATCTCTTCGAAAGAAATTTCTCCCGCTGTTTCAGCCGGAACGACCGTAAACTTTATACGGGCCGTTAAGCAAACCTGTATACGACCCGCGGGAGAGGATTTTGTGATCACATGTACGTAGAAAAGAACATACGAATATATGGTGACATTATTAAACGGCTAAAATTTGTTGTGTATGTAGAATCCATATTGTTCTTATACGCGATTTAATAACGACTGATGAGATAAATTTCAGTAAATCTTCGGAATTATGTACAAATTGTGTATAATTTCTAGTTGAATAAATTTCCAAGACATAAAATTTGAAATAATTTTATGATAAATCCTTTAAATATAACTTTGTATTCGTAAAAGTAATTTTACAAATTTAATGTGCATTGTTATTTGGTATGCTGTTTCCATTTATCGAGATGGCTTTTTTACATGAATAAAAATAAATGACACAATATAGATAACAATATTAATTAACTTTAAAAGAAAACAGACATCGATGAAAAGAAAAAGCCGTGATTGCGAAAACAGGAATGCAAGATATAACGACGAGAGAGAGAAAAAAAGAAGCATGATTCGAAGAAGCATTCTGCCATGCTGGCAGATTGCAAATCATTAAACAACCATCATCGATATATTATAACTGCGCCGTTATTGAGGCGACAAACCGCTGAATGGCTCTCGTTGCAATGTAATAATGTTCATTGTATATTTTTGTAGAACGATGAAATGGCGGGAACCGTGTGTAGTGTGAATACAAACTGCAGAATAGCACCGAGAACATATAAAAATTCGTCGGTTGCGTCATAGTGCCATCTGTGCCGAACAGTTCTCTGCAGAATCGGTTTTATGTATGTACGTACAGTAGTGCCTAGAATCGGGAGGCAAATTCACGTTGCTTTTCAAATAAACTATCTTTGAACGATAATTGTAGGTATAATAATGAATTATATGTATTTTAGGAGATTGGTACTTAATTATTATGTATTTAATTATCTTGACTTCAATTTTTAGATTTTCCTCTTTAGATAATTCTCTAGTCCTTAATTTAATCATCAGGAGTACTACAATGCTACAATTAAATCTTACAATTGACAGCTCAAAAGCTGGTATTGTTCTCGTAATAGTCTTGTGTAGTTTGTCGGAATCCATTACGATTATTCGAATGATGAAACGAGAGCAACAACCGGATTCCTATCGATCTTGCATTTCATCTGTATCAACTGCCATCCTAAACCGCGACTGGTATGTAGCAATTTATGCACATCGAAACCATCGCGGTTTACGATGGCAGCCATTAAAGTTTAAGTCCGGCTTTATTGGGTCAATGGGCGACGCGTACCACGTGCGAAAATTAAGCCCTCGTAATGTGTCGGGTACACAAAGGGTTGGCAGTCAAAGAGGGAGACATTGACTAACGCTGAACGGTTTTCTCATTCAATCGTGGCACGTATGCCGCATAATTTTATTAAGCCTGAAGGAAGAGATAAACGTTCGATAAACAAGTTCGAAAGATACAAAGGATAATAGAGACTGAAGATACCATGAAAAATGCCGTCAGTGATCCAGGTATAATGCTGATATAAAAATGGAGACAAGCAATTGAAAATATAAGAGATTGAAACATAATTTATCATATCTTCAAGTGTAATTTTAATTGTAACTGTAAAATAGAGAGAGAGAGAG